GTGCTCGAATGGGTGGCCATAATCGGAATGCAATTCAAAAGTCATTTCAGCTTCGCATTCGCAGGCTCGAGCAAACATTTGTAGGCGACACTTAAACGGCGAGAGGGAGTCACTGGGTATGTGTATCTGTCTGGGCCTGAGTTGGGATCATAAACGTAAAACGCTTAGCACTAAAGACAAAAAGGACTCACATACATCCCCTTCCGCCCACCAACGCACACGCACACACATAGAGAGAGCAACAATGCCGCCAAATGAAACAGCAAACAAAAAAAGAGCAAGAGGCCTGGCAAAAAAAAAACATGGCCATAACAATAAAAGCACAACAATAAGCAGTAACAACGAGGACAACATTGCCGAGGTCTATGGCATGAGGTAACACACACACACACATACCTGCAGGACCGAATACCACTAGTGCTGCGCCAGGACATTAAAAAAAGCCACATCAAACATTTAAAACACCCGAGGCAGTACCTAAAAGTTGGTGGAAATCATTTGTCATAATCAAGAAATATTTCATTGTTCGCATATTTAATTGTTTTAAATTTTTGAATACACTTTTTGGTGCTCTAGAGAACAATAACTCTTTTGATTTCTAATTAATTTTTAGAAGACAAGGTTTGTGTTTATGAAAAACAAAACGAATTACCTACATTAAACTGTATTTTAAATTTTTGTTTACTTTGTCTTTACTGTATTAACTGCGGAAATAAATAAAAATACCATTCAACAAATACTTAAATATAAAAAAAAAAATAAATAAAAACCTATCTAAATCCTGTCGGTTTAATAGTCGTTTCGACAGAGCTACGGGGAGGTACTGAGAAGGATCCGGACCCAAGGAGCGGATGTGGGAGGAGCAGACTCGTGGCCATGGCGCTGCCAAGTGTAGCAGATTAACGGAATGTTTGTTAAATGGCGCACGGCTGGGGAGGCGCAAGGTTGGAAAGGGACGCATTGGCAGCAGGACCTTCTGCAGGCGCGACTGTGGAATGCCGTAATTCTCATAATTTGGACTGACTCTGTGGCATTGTGTGCTCCCCCTTGAAAAACACCCCGCCCTTACCCTCCGGGAATAGACAAAGCAGACACTAATAGGGCTGGCAGACTCACAGAAAACCGCTTTTCCTCCACTTTAAAACCGCCACTTTCCCGTAAGCTCTTAAAATTTTAAATTCCACAGCTTAGTCGACATTTTAGCTAATTAAAAAAAGGAAATCAAACGGAGACTGAGTCTGTGTGTATGTAGGGACGGGCAATCGAATCGGAAAAAGGACAAGACACATTTTTGCTGTTGAATATTTTCATTTGCCTAATGCTCCTATAAGCCGCTTAGCTGCTTATGTTTCGTCTCTGTCTCTTTCGGTTGTGCACACCCGAGGGACAAGTATGTGTGTGAGTGTGTGGATGTTGACAATGATGGCCGCTGGAAAAGGTACGCAAGAGGGCTTAAAAAATCAATGAATTGAATCAAATGTTGTCAATAAATCAGACACTTTCCTTCAAAAATACTTGCGAAAAATAATAATTGAATTGAAAGTTATTTAAAGTGATCTATATTAGAAAGGATATTTTCTCCTTGAAACATAAATACTATGGTAAAGAAACACACACCAGTGGTTAGCTTGAAAAAGAGAGGCAAGCCAAGTGGGTCGAAATACAGAACTTGTTTCAAATTATTTTTATTTAAATCGTGGCTTGTGTATTTATGGCGTAACGCCTCAATTCACTTGAATGATTCCATAGTTGGGGGCATGCCGCCCGAGGCCAAAGCCGAATTCAATTCATAAGTGAAATCGGACAAAGGCATTCATTCCCCGGTATGCGAAGGATACACATACATATGTATGTACATATTTATATACATTTTCAATTGATTGGCCGTCAATTTCATTTGCCAAAGTTGGCTGCGTTCGAAGGCCCAAGTATGACAGTCCCAAAATAAGGCTAAGGATATCTTTATACATATTATGGGGTGCTGTATATAGAGCAGACTTGTTTGTGGGCATGATGAATTATTATTCTCACCCCGCTCACTGACTCCTCCCTCACGCATTACGCATACGCAACGTGTACTCAAATCCGAGGCGAGGTTGCTTGTCAGCATGTTTGTCCGCTGTCCGTTAGTCCGCCGGCCTAACCACAATCATTCATCATGCTGCAGCAGCAGCAGCAACAACAATACGCAACAAGCAACACATTGTACATACATATGTGTAAAGGCGATTGTTGTTGTGGTTGTTGTTGCTGTTTGGTTAGCCTGGCCCATTTCCACGCATTTTCCGCTCATTTTCCACCGCCCTCCAGCCCGCCTTTGACATCGATATGGCGTTGATACCACACACGTTCATCGAGCGGAAATGGTTAATGTATTCTACGTATATTGTTTGACCTTTTTTTTTCTCTTCTTTTCACCCACCCACACACATTGGCAAAAGCCCGAGTATTTGAAGTAAGCCGAAGGCAATTATCCTTGCCTAGCGAGAAGACCCAATCCCCAAATGTGCTAATCCATCAATACGACTCAACGGGAGCTTCAACACTTTGTCTTTATTTCGAGGCATGGGAAACGGGCAATGTTTGTGCCATACATCCTTGCCCCGTATATTTTTCGAGAGTGTGAACGTGCCCAGCGGAAGCTGCAACTTATTACAAGTATTCAATAACTACGGTCCCTTGGGACGGGAAATCTATCTTGTGCTCCACTTTTTGGGGGAGTTCCATTATGGAAACATTCACAGAGGCCATAGACTCCTTTTGGTTAATATGATTTACGATAAAAACTTGTTTGCATTAAATAATTTTAAGTAGCCATCACATCTTAATATAGATGCTTCCCAAAGCCAACAAAGATGCCTAGACAAAACTATAGACTTTAAACCAATAAATAAAGAAGCTCTATTATCTACTTACCATTTCTAGAGGTATATATAAAATGATTAAAAAAGAGAATTTTCCTATCAAGTCATTTCCTTTTCATTTTCCTCTTGTGCACAGTTCCTAAGAATTTATTCATCTCTTGACAAATTTAGCCAAGTAGACGGGACAAATTCGCAGCCATTAGAGAAATTCAAATATAATTGCCAGACAAAAGTATCCGACAACTGTGAGGCCATTAAAAATCACTCCAAACTGCTTAGACTGCAAATTTTATTTTACATTTTGCTCTCATTATTTGCACGGAAGTTGAACACGAATTATGGCCAATGCATAATAGCCATTAAAAAGTTTTTTGTTTGGCAGACAAGCTGGCGGACAAGTGCGGATGTGGGAGTGCGGAGCTAAAAAATGGAAAACCATGAGCGGAAAAACCGAAATAAGCCAAGGTGGAGAGCAGGAGGGGATGGAAAGCGAGTGTTAGACCAAAACTTTTGCAATAATCATTTCGCTCCCTGACTGACTGTCGCTGTCCTTGGCAGGACAAAGCGCTCGCAGCTCGCAGAGCATACATATCGTTCTACACACAGCTATGTAAAACAAAAAGGAAACTGAATCCGGGCGAGGAAAGACCAACTCAGATAGAAAATTCAGCAGAGCAGAGCTCCGCAATTGCGCGACTGTCAATACAAAAAGCGAACAATTAGGTGGGGGCACCTGAGGGGCTGGAAAAACCTGAAGGGCGGAAAATTGTGAGCTGACCAACTAGCTGCCGATGACAATGGACAATGGACAACGGCAACAGGCGACTGGCCACGTAGCTACAATGTCCTTCTGAATTATTGAGCGCGCAACTTGTTGAAAATCCAAGGATATCGCTGAGCGAGAAGCTGCGGGCGAAAACAGGGACTCGACTCAATGCACTGAGCGAGAAATCTCGATAGAAACTTTTAAAGAAATTGATTTGAAAGATTTCTAGATCTCCAAATTAAAGTATTTATTCAATTTACCAAAGTTCTTGTTTTAAAAAAGTTGCAACTTTAAACACAATAAAAATCAACTTGAAAAATACTTTTGTAAAAGTTGATTCATAAATGTTTTGTTTATTTTCTCTGTGTATATTTTATACACATTGTCTGTGTGTGTGTGTTACCTTAATTTACTCATTTCAACAAAATGTTAAAAATGTACCAAGTTATTTCCCAAGGGGAATGTTGCCTAGAGAAAAGCGAAGCGATGGGAAAAGACGCTGAAAAAAAACTGAAGTGCTGAAAACAATTAAAAACTTTGAGGCGCTGCTGTCGAAGAATTCGTCAAGAAATGTTGATGAGTTTATGGCGTTTTAATTGCTCAGGTCCTGAAAGCGTGAAGGGACTTAGGTGGGGATTCTTTCCGGAAAGTGAATCTAGAAAATCAAGGAGTAGGAGCACATTGGCTAATATATTTTGATTTTCTAAACATTTTTGTAGCTTTAAGGAAATATGACTAAGTTTTCCGCATATAACCCATATTATGCTGTTTTGTATACCAAAAATTAAGCTTTATTACCAAAGATATAAAGTTCACCAAATCTCTGCCACTTTATGTTTAAGGTTGTACCTTTTATGGGTGTTATTTCGCTCCCACACTCTCATAGCAGTCGCAAGTGAATATTCGTTAATTTCATTGCAACATTCCCAACAGCAACTCGCATCTGGCCTGAATGGCAGTCACGTCGATATTGTATGGCCAATTTGTTCGTGACTAACACTTTCATGGGCAGTTAGCCAGGTTCAGTGGAGGGGCATTAAACTGACGGAGTTGCTCAAGCCCACAGTCCCTCAATCCTCTGGGGCAGCGAGAGCCTGGAATCATAAGTCAATTGAGTGTTCAGTAATATTCAAACAATTAATATTTGATTTCTTGCAATTGGAAGAAGGAGTTGGAGGTGCATATCATTCTTATCGTTGTCAATATACATACATATTTATATACATATTTTAGTAGTGAAATAATATCATAAAGAATGGATCATAAAATCCATCACTTTTTCTTTATTTGTTTTTAATTAAATATATAAGTAACTATAAAATTATATGGTCTATAATTAACTATTTATTTACTATCATTTATGTTTGCAGAAAATGTTTCAATAGAAATGGCCAAACTTTCACGACGGCCCTCGTCGTCTGCAGCAACGCCTTCAAGAGCAACCACAGCAAGCACTGCGAGTACAGCGGCAACATCGGTTAGCCCGAGTCATGCCACAGGCAACACGCAGCAGGAGCCGGAGCAACAGACAAGGACAAATCAGCAGGAGCAACATCAGGAGCCGAAGCAGCCGAATCCGACACATCATAGTCCGAAGGAGCAGCAGCAACGCATCGCCCGACGTGCAGCCAGCAGCAGTGGCAATAAGCCCCAAGCGGCGGCACTTGTTAACACTCGTCCCGATGTACTCCATGATCCATCGCCATCACCGACACCGGCGGCGCTCTCCTATCACAATAATAACAACAACGTCAATAGCAACACTGCCACGCCCGCTGCTCCTGCTCCCACTCCCGCCCATGTCACGGCCACGCCCTATATGCCGCTGCTACCGCCCGGGGAGCGGAATCTGACAGAAGCGGAAAATGCTGCGGAGCGGGCCAGAATCAGGGAGGAGTTCTTCGCCACCTATGACGTGATGACCGGCGTGAGGATCGCCGCCACCTTGGGCGGTTTCTTTGGCCTGATGGTTTTTCTTATCGTGTGGAAGAGCCGGAGCAGCAGCAACGAGACACTGAAGGTCCTCAAGGATCCCAAGATGGCGGCCGTAGCTGCGGTCTGCATGCAGGAGGAGGAGGAACGCGAGATCCACGAGGCAATTGTGGCCACGGGCATGTCCATATATCCGGATGAGTACGATGCCCTGGTCTACCGCCGGCAGCGCATGCTCTCGCTGGGCAACGTGAGTGCTCCGCCGCTGCTTAATCGCGGATATCGGTGCGGTTCTGTGGGTGAGTCCTTTTGTCTTAGACATTTTTTATTTCAAAATATATCCTTGTTTTTGAATACTTTTGACAATAGACCTTTTTGTTTTTCTTCATTTCAGGTGGAGTTGGTCCGAGTGTCCCAGTGGGCTATAGCTATCTCCTGGAGCCGCCGCGACGTTTTTCTTACTCGGCAATGTCGGGAGGTGGTGGACCGGGCTCTGGCCACGTGGGACGGCGCAAGAGCGGCTCGGAGTCGTCGCGCATCTTCAGCAACTATCCCATGGGCGGCAGCTTTGGCACCGACGACTACTTCGTGGAGACGGACGACGAGCTGGACGCCGAGGATTATATGCCACCAGGTGTCCAGGATGAAGCGGATCATAAGCACCAGAGAACGGACTCCACGCGCAGCAAACAGGGATTCCTATCCGTACCGATGGCGGTGAGTTGAAGTACCTTGATTTTTAGATTCAGAATCGTTAAGAAGTGATCCTTAATCCAACTCCAATTAATTTCTTGGTTCTCTGGATTCTCACCGCAGGGTCACGACTCGCGGCGGAGCAGCGCAATGACCTGCTGCAGCACGGACAGCTCGTACCTGGAGCGCCGCACCTCCGCCTACATGGGCGGCTGCATGAGCAACCTGCCACCCACGCTGCAACGTAAGCTGTCGACGGCCTCGCGGACATCGAGCATCGACAACTGGGACTACTACTATCCGGACATCCAGGTGATCCAGCCAACGCCAAAGGAATCGCCCTGTCCCTCAGAGCGCAGTGTCCACGAGTCGTCCAACGGAGGAGGAGGCGGAGGAGCAGCAGGATCTGGATCCGGATCCGTGTCCGTGTGTGGATCACGAAACTCCAACTTGAGTGCGCCGAACATCAAGCGGAAGCACAGCATCGTGTCCTACGATCCAGACAGTGCACAGGCGGGCCGGAAGCAGCAGATACACTCGATTAGCGCGGACACCGTGGACGTTTATCCTTACAACCAGGAGAGTTCCGCCGTGGACCTGGCGCTTGCGTTGCCGCTGCCCAAGCCGGTGCAGTCGGCGTCGCCCACCAGCGCCCAGCAGGCATTTCACTTCTGCGACTCGCCCTCCGAAGAGCTGCGTCTTGGCGTTCGACGGAAGCTCACCCTGGTCGAGCTGCAGCGGAACGAGAGCAACAACAACAGCTTTCCATATACAGCGAATGCAGCCGCTCCGTCCGGAACGACGGGTACTGCTCCCAACTCAAGCAGCATCAGTGTGGACAGCACGCCGGCGAGCCTGGAGAGGCTGAATGGCGCGAGCGGAGGAAGCCTGTCCATTTCTGCCTCCATCAAGCTTCCCGCGATCGGTAACAACAATCCGGAGAAGCGAGCACCCCTAGCTTCACTAAGTTCCTTCAAGATCTCCTCGCTCGAGTGTCCCGACTCCGATCTGCGCTCCCTCGACGAGGACTCGGTTTTCGGGGTGGAGAGTCCAGCGGATACGGACGATGACATGCAGCAGCTGAGCAGCGACAGCGAGGAGCAGGAGGCTCAGGCCCAGGCTCTGGCTCTGGCTCAAGCTCAGACTCAGGCCCAAAGCCAAATAGCTTCGGTGCGGATTAGTTCCGAAATGAAATCCAATCCGGCCGTGCCTCTGAAGCGGATGAGCATGAGTGCAGTGCCGTCGACGGGAATGGGAACTGGGGGTGGTGGCACCGTGGTCGCAGCTGGGGGTGCTCGTCCTCGGAGGCCCCTTCTGCAGCGACACCGCACCATCGGCGCTACATCCAGCGATCGGGTGGCGCTCATCAATCAGCCTCTGCAGCTGCAACAGTTCCACATGGGCCTGCCCATCCAGTCGGAGGTGGCTGCTCCCCTGGAAACGCACTTCGGAGCCGTGGTTAGCCAGAGTCCCCCGCGACGAGGACCGCTTCTGCAACAGTATAGCGATCCACAAACGACGACGACAACCACTACAACCACCACTACAGAGGAGGACACATGCTCCACGCTGAACACAGAGCTGGGAATGGTGGAAGCCACCGGGGCTCCTCTGGGCGGTGGGGGTGGAGAGTCCGCAACGCACACGCAATACAGCAGTCTGAACACGGTCATCAGCATGGGCCGTTCCACGCCCAGTCCCGTTCCTCTGACCAGCCGGATGGACAATAACGCCGCTGCACAGCCCTCACAGCAGCAGCCAGCTCAACTGCCAACGAACGCCACCCGGCTGGGGCACGATCCCTGTCCCTCGTCCGTGTCCGACTCGGTGATAGCCGCCCGGCACCAGAGCATCTGCGTGCCCGCCTCCCTCAAGGACCTTATCCTGCGCAAGGGATCGGGTCCCGGCAGCGCTGTGATCGTTCCCGCCAGCGGGATCAGCAAGAGTGCCGCCAACCTTAGCTGTGAGAGTAGCGGCACACACAACACAACGACTGCGACGCCCGCCGTCATGCTAGAGCTTCCCCTGATCCGGCTGCCAAACGAGGAGGGTGAGGACGAGGACGCGGCGGAGGCGGAAGGGGATGAGGCGAACTTGGAGAGTGAAGAAAAGCGCGATCCCAGCTTGCCCGGCACTTCGCGCAAGTGGTCCAAAGAGACACTCTTCTAGCCCAGCTGGTTTCCACTGCTCCAAAGAAGGCAGTTCCCTGGCCCGGGCCATTATTTAAGAGCTTAGCAACTGACTTTGTAAGCATGGTAATATGGAATCTACAGTGAAAACTCCCAAGTTAGTCTACGGTAAACTTTCCCAAACTTGTTTAAGATATTTTCCACAAAATAATCCAACCAACCTCGACAAAATAATTCGTAATTGCTAACCGTGACATTTATGAGTAGACAAAACCTATTTGTATCCTAGTTAGAGAATATGAAAATCTATTTCCAGTCGACTTCCTAATATCAATCTCTTTCTGAGGGAGAATTTCACTGTATTTCCGGTAGTGGCATGGTCTGGCAACCAACTTCCTGGGTTGTCACTGGAGATCGCGAACATTGATTGAGTATTTAGGCCTAGATTAGGAGAGTTAGATTAAGCGCATTTAGTCAAAATACATAAGTTAATTGGGTCGCTCCCGGTCCCCGGCACCGACTGGCCGACTGAGGAGCATGAGGAGTTGCAGTAGAGTACTTGCCTACTATATACTACCTACTATATAATTAGTATGTACAGACGATCGGATAAACGGAGGCGGACGAGGGTAATAACGAACAGCAACCAGAACAACAACGTATTCGTACTTAGAGACTGTTGTCTATTATTGTTAATAGAACTCTAAAAGTTAAGTAGTGATACTCGGATTTATTTTTCACACTATGTATCTTTAAAGCAGGAAAAGCCAGTGTACGAATATATATATTTGTATGCAGCCATACTAGGGAGAAGGTTTATATATTTCTATTGGTACGTCGATCGCCGATCCTTTCTACATCTCTCTATTTCTCACTCTCCCTATGAATGGAATGAAAACTCTTCTAGTGTCTTAAACAGCAGCCAAATACTTAAAGTATTGTAAGTTACAATTAGAAATTTTATAGATTGCACAACAACTGGGAAGCGTTCGAGATCCGGTTAACCTTGCAACAGACGTACTCTGACCGAAGACCTCAAGGACCTCGATGCCTGCATGTCCCGTGCCCGTACCCGTAGCTAGACTTTCTAGGAACACTATCGCATTTCCCCCGCTCCTGCCTGTTCGAACACTCAGATTGTTGAAGGATATAAGTAGCGTTAGAGAGTTACAAAACGAAATATAGGAGCAAATTTAAATTGATAAAAATTAATAAGAAAAAAAAGAGAGTAAACGTAAACAATTTCCTAACTCATCCCACCTACGCATCTCTATTTTTCTATGAAGAGCTAAGCCAAGCTAAGGGAAGGAATACAGCCGCAACCGAAGGGGAAAAGAAATCAAATAACTTGAATTATTCAAATCAAAATACACACATAATTAGTTGAGGAGAAACCACGCGAGAGGATAGCACGATAGAGCTGCATTTTGAGGTATCCCTAGCCGATGATCCCCAGAGACTTTCTCACACGCCTGAGCCTCAGCCTGAGCCTGATTTGTACCTTTCCTACGCATAAGTATATGTAAGTACATGTATGTATGTACAAATCGAGCCCTATTTGAATATTTTTTAATACTAGTAAGTATTTTGTACGACGAGAGATCAACTCGAACGGCGACTAAGCGAGCCTGTGCCACGAGCGCAGCAAAAGGTATATCAAATAACACAAAAAATAAACATTTAATTGTTGGTTATATGCTGAAGAAAGTAAGAGTAAATGAGAATTCGAAAATATTGTAATTGTAGCGTTGGTTTAAAGTTTAAAACGGGAAACAGAAAATATACAAATAAACGAATAACGTAGCTAATTATACATACATATATATTTAAAGAAAAACCTAACTTGTGTAAGGCAAAGAGTAGCGGAACCAATTGTTAAACCTAAGCATAATAAATCTGTAATAAAACTGAGCTGTTGTATTAAATGAACAATAACAAATGTTGAAGACAGAGCCCCTGGTAGAGGTTTACGCCGATGGTTAAAGGCATCGGCGGCGGCGTAGAGGTCAAAATGACTCGGCGGCGGCGGCGTAGTAGTCAGAAAGAACCGGCGGCGGCGGCGCGTCAAATAAGGCAAAAAGGCCATTTTAATGAGTTATTTATTTTTTTTAAAGTTTTATAAAGAACAATGACACTGAAGGCCGCGCTGAAGCTGCGCCGATGCCGCACCAGCGGCGCGCCGCGGCGCGCCGTTATTTTCATAATTTGGCGGCGGCGCGTCAAATAAGGCAAAAATCGGCGGCGGCGGCGGCGTGGCGCGGCGGCGTATATGTCTAGCCCCTGGACATGCACAGAGCATTCAGTTTATAGGCAAAGCAAAGTCTCTCCTCTTCACTCCCCATTTTATTCCGGCGATTTCTTTTATACTTTTGTACTAACACCCCCCTTCCCGGCCTGACCTCAGAGAGCCCGATTTCCATTTCCGTAAAGTGCATGAGCCCGATATCTATATGTACCTCCAGCAAAAGAACTCGAAGCATATAATTGATCAAATTGGTAAACGAAAGCAATTCGAAGGGAAATGAAACCAAATATTCCGTAACGCGCAGAATTATTAATGCAAGATTACTTTAAAGGAAGTATTAAAATTTTTTAAAAGTACGAGCTATTAAAGAACAAACTTAGTTAAATGTTATATATATATATATATGAAAACCAAGAAAATTGATGTACATGTTAGCGATATTAATGAGAAATGTGACAAGTGAAAAATAAACCAGAAGAAAACACATATACACCAAGTGGCCAAGACACAGTCTTTTGAATTTGGGATCGTACATGTATTATTATTACTTGTTTTTAAGCTAAGCACATCTCTGAACATAGGCTGACTTAGTATCTGTACTTGGTGGAGTAGTCTTTGGGGGAGACCACCAGACCACGACCCTTGCGGGCTCCGCGGTACACCGTCTCCACGATATCGATCATCTCCTGCTTGTCCTCCAGTGGCCAGTTGATCTTGTTGTTGTTTCCCGTGCCCAGATCTATCATGATGTGCTTGTTTCGGAAGAAAAACATGACCGTGCAGGGATCGTACAGCTCGTACATCTTGTTGAAGTCCGGGACCTCGGTGATGTCCACCAGATAGATGACCGCAAAATTCTTCACCTTTTCGGCGATGCTGTACATCACCTCGTCCATCTTCATGCAGGCAGGGTCCCAATCGTGCCCGAAGCGAATAACCTGGCGGGGAGAAGCATTGAGTGTTACTCGAGGCTATCTACCAAGTGGTGCTCCGGCTCAACTACTCACCACCACGCGGTCCTCCTCGGAGAGAATGGCCTGGTCCACCTGCCAGCCATTGTGCAAATGTGGGAGCATATACGACATCTTGAGGAGTTATTTAGTTGCTATTTTACCGCAGAAAGTTAAAACATAAACAAAACGAAGTTTAATAGTGATGGAATAGATGTCGATGTCGATGTTTACTAAGTACTATCGATAATGATACAGAGTATCGTCAGGTAAAAAAAAAAAATCGAATGTAAATGGTTTGGAACATTGATAAGACACCTGTTAGATGTTATCGATAACAAAGCAACATAACGACTTTTTAAAAATGCATTATTGTTTTTTATAAATTGTACTTTTTATTAGCCGTAAATATTAAGATTAGCGTCCTCATCAGTTCAAGTATTTCTGCCTAAAGCTATCGATGTGTTCCAGCACCTTCACGGTCATCTCGTTAATGTATTCGTCCCGTCCCTGCTCGCTGAACGGATCCGGCGCACTGCGTCGCGAGACATAGTGATTCGGCAGGTTCACCTTGTGCCGGCCGATGGACTTGATGATCAGCCACAGAATGTAGAAGCTGAACCACACGGTGAAGTAAAGAGGAATGTACCAGAGCTTGCGGCCGATGTAAAAGTAGCTGTACTTCTTCACACGCGGCTCTGGCGGTGGCGGTGGAGGTGGGGGTGGTTCAGTTGGTGGCGGAGGAGGTGGTGGCGGCGGTGGCGGAGGTGGGGGAGGCGGCGGATGGTGAACGTGGTGGTGATGATGCGGATGATCATCGTAAATCACATCTGGGTAGGAGTCATCCGGATACGACGGCTGATAATCAAAGTGACCTGGATAATGATCGTGGTGATGATCGTGCACGTGTTCCGGTACGTGGTCGTGGTCATGATCGTGATCGTGGTCCTCCGGCTTGGGAGCCGCTGACTCTGGATGAGATTCCAGCCAGCCAGGCGGCGGTGTGGCATACTCCATGTTGGGGTCGTACTTGTTGTCGTCCCCATGTGAGCCGTCGTTGTGGAGCGCTGGCAGAGTTCCAGCGACGCCGTCATCTCCGTCACTGCCACCAGCATCTGCTCCTGCACCTGCGGGCGCGCTCATATCTCCGTCATCTGCAGCGGCTGAACCACCCCCAGCATCCTTGCCGTCCATATCCTTAATTGGAACATTGTCCATGGCACTGGCGGGCAGAACTCCGATCGTATCATCGTTGCCGGGATCATCGTCCGCTGGAGGCGATGCACTTGGGGAACTGGCAGCCGTATCCTTGTCGCCATTACCTGCCGCCACTGGACCCGGGTACTTGTAGCCAGAGAATGAAGGTCCAGGATAGGAGTACCCAGCATTGCTCAATCCTCCAGAAGCAGGTGGTAGGTAACTTGTGACAGTATCTGAGGGCAGAGCTGCCTTTGGATCTTTCGAAGGCGATGGGTACTTCGTATTTAGGGGCGGAAATGAATAGGCGTCACTCGGCGCGACATAGGTGTTAACGGAGTTGGATCCGGAGGCCACCTTGCCATCCTGTCCATGGGAATGATCATGATTGTGATTGTGGTTGTGGCCCTTGAACAGATTAGCGGCGGTTCCTTCTCCGGGGGTGAAGCGATCGCTGAATCCTAGGGATAAGAATGGATTAGTATCTTAATTGAAATCAAAGATCCTGGAATGAATGGCTTAAAATGAATGGTTTTACTCGACATTTAAAAAGGATTTAGGAAGGATGTTTTAGTAAAGAACGAATAAACAATTATCCTTAATATCGGTCTTTTCTCCGATGATTTTTGACTACAAAAATATCCTTTATTTACCAGACTAATATACCTTTATTATAGCTGGGCCTCGAAGCCTGATAACGAGATGGATTTCGTGATGAAGATGAGGAGGAGTAATACGAAGGACGACTACCTTGCGGATAAATACGGGTCTGTGAAGGTCGCGAGTTGTACTTCTGTGGCTTGCCTGCCCTCAGCAAGGGAGTAATTAGCTGACCAAAGGGATACGCTGTCCGGTAGTCCACTGCACGCCCCGTGGAAGCACCTTCCACAATTGGTTCCGGCTGGTTCTCGGGAGCAGTGGCAGAATCAGGAGCAGGTTCACTTTCCTTTGCTGCCTCTGCAGCAACCAAAGGAGTCACAAATACAGGTGAGTTGGTTGTTCCTGCAACCGCCTCGGGTTGATGGTTGTATGGAATCGGTGGCAGGGACGTCGCCGCAGGAGCCACAGTGGTGGACACAACATTATCGCTGGAGTTGAAGCTGTGTAGGCAACGAATGTCAGCAAATCTCGGTCACACTACTCCACAGCGGCTATCAACTTACGTTTTTGGGAATATCAAATCCGTATTAAGAGCCTTAAAAATCCGAGGACCTTGCCCCGTCTCCGCTCCATTACCACTAACTAATACCTGGGAGTAAGCATCGATTTGGACACACCTAACCGAGAGACCGAGGCACACCAGTAGCGCCCACTTAGCGCCTTCTAACCGCATCGTTGAATTTCGATCTGTACCACTTCACCTCTGGGACACTATATATTTATATTCGAAATTCCACACTATCACAAAATATCCTTGGGGGCTACACTCTCGTCATGTCCGCCGGAGCTCGGAAGAACGCAACCGTACCGCGTCACGCGAAAATCTTGAATACATGGCAGCACCCTAAGCCGATTGGTTTTATTCCGGCTGCGTCCAGGCGAGTTCGTGATTTCGTTTTTCCATGACCCAGATTCCGGGGCAGAAGGTGCTACTAGAAGTGATCTATATACGATCGATCTGGCCGGGCACAACAGCACTTTCATTTCGTCGACGTCGCAAGGTGCTAATCAATTGTTACTCCACATTTCAGGTAGTATCTTCCGTTATGTGCTCCCGCCGGCTGCCTAGCATGTGTTCACCGGGAGTGTGGAGTGTAACTCTAGGAGGAATGAGCTTCAGGCGTGTGCCTCTAATTTTGCAACCAATTAGTAACCATTTTAATTTCCAAGACATGTCTGCGATGCTGGGAATGTTAAGAGAAACTTCAGCTAAGCCTGGGAAAAGGTCTATCCTTGTTTCATTTCTTTGCACAAAGTAAGGAATATAGATATAGATTTCATTATTTTTGATAAAAAAAATAAAATTAATCAATCAATAATCATTGATGATTTTTATTTTTGTTGCTGAAAATATAACTCAGCTGTAAATCACGAGTTGCGTGTTAGACTTTTCATATTCTTGTTTAAAGACAACATGTAATATTTAACAATGAATGAAGAATTCAAAGAATTCCAAACCGAACCACATAATTTTTTGGCGCTCTGAAGGTGTGAATTGTATGAATCTCATGTTTATAGTTCTTCAATCGAGAGAGCATCATGTGTAACCTAATTTAAAAGATTTCTAGCTTGAGCTGAAAGACAATAATATTTGTCAACTTGCTTGCCATGACCGATGCGGGATGGATGTGGGTCAGTAGCTGCCGCCGCTCTTGCTGCAATGTGCCTCTCCTGATTAGCACCTATTCTAATTTCGGGCGTGCTATATACTGCGGGATCGCCATCTCTTGAGTAGTATCTGTGGAGAACCAGTTCTGGACACTTTCCCAGCCGAATCCCATTCAAAACTTTTACTTGTTTAATTTTTACCATACATACATATATTTCATATAATAATTGCAAGTCTTTTAAGTGTTAGTACATAAAGAGTTGTAGCTCATCGAAACAAGGAACACGAACCAAACCGTTTTAGAAACATGAATAACAAATGCTTATCGTTACTCTCGCTTTGGGGGTGCCGTGTCACAAACTAAAATAAACAAAAGTACGTGGGCCGAGCAGGGACCCCAATATGGTTAGTCCGAATAGAAAATTAAAACAATAAGATGGTGTTGAGTGTTGGGTGGTGTTATATACAGCCTTGGCAATAAGTACATGGGTGTAACGCTGGCGTCTTTTCTTCTTTTTGGTAAGATTCTTGGCCGTGGTGGTTAAAAGGGCGAGTTCATGCCCAGTTTGGTGCCAAAGTCAAGGCGAGCCCGACGCTGGTACCGTGCATTGACCCTGAAAGACACAAATAATGTAATTTAATGGTTAATTTCCAAAGGGGATTATCCACCCACTTGTTTTCCTGGAACTTGGCCAGCTCACTGACAATCATGCTCAGTAAACTTCCACTGAATAGGATCACCAAGGCCAGAAACAGTTTGGGGACCTGCGACATGAAATCCTCCAGAATGAGTTGCAGGGAGCAGATCACCCCGTGGAGGAGCAGCAACAACAAACACGTAATGGCCCATATACGATTGGTGAACGGGTTGCGCTGCCAGAGCGCATGATCACGATGGACAAACGTAAAGGATATGAAAACTGGCCAAGGAATATGTTCGAAATAAGGTTAAAGTCAAGTTGGCAAAAGGTGCGTTTTAGTTGTTTTACCAAAATGCATGATTATGGCCAGCAAGGCGCAGCTTCGAGCAAAGTATAAAAACTGATAGAAATCCCCATCATCATCGACATCATCATCATCATCGTTCTCGACAGGTCCTGGATTCAGTTTGGGCTCCGATAGGAACATCCAGTAAGAAACGAGCTTTTAAAGAGAAAATGCAGTGAAAATAATAAATAATTCGAGTGTAAGAGCTTGGGATGTGTATCCGGTTCAAAATACATTTCAAAAATTCACAGAAAATTTCAAACTCACCAGGGATATGACCGGAACGATAAACTTGCAGCCGTAGCACCACATGACGAACGCAAAGGCCCGCGAATCATAATCCGTCTGCTTTTTGCTGGTGGCCCGATTCATGATCTTGGGATCCACGTCAATGTGGGCCAACGAAATGGCTATCAGCGGCACCGGTACGCACATCAAATATATGGTGAGCAGCGGGGTGAGGAGCGGCGGCAACGAGAGGCACGCGCACAGCACGTTCAGAATGGAGATGGAGCCAGCACAGCAGGCCCAATATTGGATGCAGTTCCACAGGCCCAGCGAGAAGCGGCGTGAGAGCTCAATTATGGCCACCAGCGAAAGCGGGTCGTCGCGGCAAACGGCGATAGAGCATGGCAGAGAGTTCAGTAGCCGGCTCAGATACAGTGGGGAAACGGTGTGGGCAGGCGTTTGCATGGCACAACCTTGAAGACCGCTCTCCAGCAGCTCTTCATCGTCGTCGGCGGCGGCTGCGGCGCCCTTGGACTTGCCTGACTGCCTTTGCCACAACAATTTGTTGTGGTGGATATTGGCCTCCGTGTAGGCGTCCACATCCTGGCACACCTGCGGATACAGGGGCTCCACGGCTATGCTGCAGTCAGCCTGCAGGAAGATGTCTGCATTGGCATTGCTGGCCGAGCTGCCCAGACAGACGACGATCTCGCCGTAGGACTGCATGATATCCAGCATCTGTTGCGTGGCCTCCGCCGAGCAGTCCGTGAAGAGAGACACCTGCAAGGGGACATTGTCCACCTGCTCCAAGTGCGGCCGGATGTTTTCTATGCCGCGTGGAAGCTTCGCTCGATTGGACATGTCGAAGTTGATGGGAGCACTCTGATCGGTGCTTTCGGTGAGTGTGCTCAGCGAGCGGCAGTTCTCGTCCATGGCGGAGTCCAGCGAATGGCGCTGGTTGTGCTTGTTGGGATCGGGGTCCGTCGTATCCATTTCAGGAACCTCATTTAGCGGGGAACTCTCCTGCGAGCTGTCTTTGCTGCCTCCGCCTTCCGGAGACTGGGCAACTCCTTCACTGTTGATGGCCGCATTAAGCGGATTGTATTCATCCGGATTTGAGATAGCTCCGGGCGCAGAGGAGCTGAGTGTCTTTGAGGACTCCAGGTTGTTCGGCGGGCCCAGGAGATAACTCATGACGGGTCCAGAGTCACCTACAATGTCAGTGGTTTTAGCTGCAGATGGGGCTACGGATGTGGAGTCGGATTCAGATGTTGTGGCAGGTGCGGGTGCGGGGGGCGATATGTACATGGCTTTGGCACTAGGATGATGGCTGTTCTCATGGGTATCAGTTGTGGTGGTGGTGGTGGCAGTGGTTGAGGTGGCTTGGAGTTTACCAGTGTTTTCCGGCAAGTCTTTGGCCTTGGCAGTGCTTCGGTCCTTCTCCTTCTCGACCTCCGGCTCGGGTTCGCTGAGCAGCGATATGTGACAGTTCCAGCCGGACTCGAGGCCCATTTTCTCGGAGAAGACCCGCGAACGCAGCTCATTCTCCTTACTGAAATGCACGAACCGGATGCAGGCTCGTTCCAGGTGCTCCACAAGACGAACTATGTCGTTCTGTGCCTGGTACTGCATGGTTACCATGCCGATGAACACCTGATGGCACTGCATCTCAAAGCAACCTTCAACGTCGTTGCAGTCCTCGTCCTTGTTTTCCGAGAACAGCAACGAATCCGTACTGATGCTGTGGCTGAGTTTCACATGGTGCCCGCCTTGGAAGTCGCAGTGCGTCTTGTCCACGTGCTGCATGCGCAGCTTGGACTCCGGCGGCAGCTCCAGATAAAGGCAGTCGCCGCCGCTCTGCTGCGGACCACTTAGGGCTCCATGGATGCCGTGCCTCAGGGGACGATAGGCGAACGCTGTGCAGTAGGAGGTCAGCGCACTGCGCTGGTAAAAGTCCAGTGCCCGCTTGCGATCCTGCGGGGAGAGCGGACGCAAATCCTTGCCATCCCAGAAGTCGTCGCAACAGTCCAAGATAATATCGGCCGTTCCCTGGGTGAAAAGGGACAGATAACCGCCCGGATTCTCGCGCATCACCACCGACAGGGAGTGCGGAAAGGGAACCTTCACCTTGGACGACAGCTGCAGCTGCCGGGCAAAGCGTATGTCCCTGCGCACGACATCAGGTTGCTGTGGAAGCATGGAAAGAATTAAATAAATATTAAACTATAAAAGTTTGCTCGAATCATAGAAATTTATATTACATTTTATGAATAAACGAATTTTATAGAATTGTTGAAACGCAATTAATGGTTTGAATTTAAAATTATGGAAAATGTATGTTCTTCATAATATTCTTAATCAATAAGTTCTATTTTTGTTGAAATGTCAGCTTTATACGATTCTCCCTCGACTAATCCCACTAAACTATTGGGAAATTTCGAAAATGTTTTTTATATAAGTATTCCCTTGATTATGACGAATATAAATATTTCATTAAATGTAATCCCGTCTCGAATAGAGACTTCTTCGAATCGTTTTCTTACTCACCAAATGCCGGTAGCTGGCCAGTTGTCCCTCCAACGCAAACCGATCTGTGGCATGGTCCGTGAATCCAATCTGCTTGGCCAGCTCGCAGAGGCAGCGTCTGTTTGCCGGGTCGAAATGGGAAGGAGCAACCGATTAGAACTGGTTCCGACTGCCGGCTGATAATGCGACGGCGGTGCGTGAGCATGCAAGCAGGCAAGCGTGACGGTGGGCAGGCAGGCAGGGGTGGGGAGTGGGAGGGGCATGGGCATGAGGCGACTATATTTAAGCGTTCTTGAATGTTTGTTACTTAAAATAGCATGCTGCCAATGGGGGAGGAACGGAGTGGAGGTCGATTTACGAGTACAAACAAAAATTAATATCAATACAGGGTTTATGTGTTATTAGAAAAGGCTCGAACCGAATCGAAATCTTTGGAACTATGGAGTTAAACGATCAGGGTGGAGGAGTGGGAGGAATAGCGAGTTACTGGAAATCAAAAATACTTTTTTCTTACGCTGACAATTTTCAGAAAACGTTACCAATCGCTTGTGTGTGTTTGTCTTTGTTTGTTTTTGTGGGAGAAATCGTCCAATTGGATTCAAAAATCAAAAATACCCAAAGCAAACTCTAATTTGATCGGGCTTTGGCTGGCTTGGGATGCAACAGCGGTATGCGAGACACCGCTTTTTTGAGAAAATCATTAGACTATAGTAGGTATGCATATACTATGGCATAGTATATAAGATATCCAACTTGGTTAGACGAAAACTAACAATGAGTATGGCAATGGAACTACGTACCCATGCAAAAAGCTTTTACTGGTCTCTATTAATGCATACGCGTACCGATTGGTTACCGGCACCAGATCCTTGTCCAGCATGGCCACGGCGGTGACATGGCCGCAGAACTGCGCGTAGTGCTCGTGGGTGAGCGGTGAGCAGGTGTTCAACAGAATGGCGAGGCCTAAAAGGACAATTTGAATGGTCATAAACCAAAGCCGCAGCTTGAAAGGATTAGCACTCACCCAGCGGCTTCAAAGACTTTATGTGCGCCTTCCACTCGTGGTCGTCGAACTCCAGCCGAAAGGGACAGTGCTGATCGTGCGTAAGGTCCAACACCTCGGCCACTATGCCCCGCTCCTTGTTGAGATCCTCGTCCACATCTGGCCCATCGTCGCTGTCGCTTTGCGACGACGACTGACTGCCTCCCATCCCGTCCTCGTGCGGCTCGTCCTCGGTGTTGTGCAGGAAGAATACCTTCTCGGCCGTTGGATTGGGCCACGACAGAATGCCCTTCTTGTCCACGCAGCAGAGTGCCGATATGGAGCCCAGCACCTGGACCAGATTTGCCGAGCGCGGCAAGAGTTCACTGTCGCCCCGCCAGAGCTGCATCCAGATGCGGAACACATTGGAACGCTGCATCGATACGTTTTGATAGTCGTACGACGGTGTGTCCAGGTCCTCCTCGAAGGACTTGCTGGCGTTCTTCTCTAAGGCAGCCTGCGGCGTCTTAAGGAAGCACTGCAGCCGAGCAATGCCCCACAAATTCATGGATATCCACATGAGCGGAAAGATCAGCGGCAATAAGGGGATTATGGCCGCCGCCGGTGACTCGATGAGCACGAATCGCCAGTTGTGCTTCTCGTCGGTGGGCAACCCGTAGCCGTGAAGACGCAGTAGGCCCGAGATGAGCGTAATGACCAGGGCACTGATGAAGCCCCACTGTTGTATGTACTTGGTGACCAGCTGCCAACGTAAGCATAGATAAGAAGTGGTTTTAATTTCTCTCCGAGATCTCCTTACCAGATAGCGCTGCTGATTGTAGATGGTGGGCGGGCGCTTAAGGGAGTTCTTGAGGCACACGCTCAGGTTGTCCAGGTACGGGGTGCTCTCCAAACAGCAAACGAGATCGGCCAGCGGAGGGCGTGCGACGGGTTTCACTGGCGGATCGCCATGTGGAGTGGCCCCGTAGATTTCGTTGGCGGCAAAGAACTTGTTCGTTTCCAGCTCGTAGCACGGTCCGGGTGAAATGTGCCCCGGTCGCAGGACTATGTAGTCTCCGCGCACCAGCAGGGCCCACGGCAGGTTGACGATTATCCCATCACGATATGTCCACTGCAGGGAAACGCACGGCGACATGGGATTACTCAGATGCGGATAGTTCGACGGCTGCCAGTCATCGCTGAAGTGCTCCTCCGCCAAGCGGAGCTCGGCCAGGGCATGGCGCGTCTTTCTAAAGATCTCCGTGCGCCTCAGATTGTTCTCCCTGACCACCACAAAGAGGTCCAGCGAAAGAATGGCCAAGAGACAGAGGGCGGGCCACAACATTCCTGTAATGAGGAGCGCCCCACTGGCCAGTAGACTTGTCCCGATCGAGAGCCAACCAAGCGGGCTGTCGTAGCGCTTTACAAACGCCGCACGCAATTTGAGATACGAGCTGGGTGGGGGAGAGCAGCGGTGGATTGCCTGTTATCAGTGTATATCGTCGGATAGATTGACTCACCTCTCTGCGCCGCACTGCCGCTCATGTTCCAGCAGCACCCTTTCGATCTCCTCTTGCAGACGCCGCAGCGCCACCTTTGTGGTGAGGCCACGCTGCGGCTGCTCCTGCTTCTCCCGCTTCTCCGGCCGCTCCGACTGCTTCGCTGCCATTTTTCCTCGACGTGCTGCTGCGGCAGTGTAAGTAATCGCGTCCGTCTACAGCATAGTTTCCAAACTTTGCTTTTGTTTTTCTATTTGGGTTCGCGGACCGTTCGTTCCATACGCGCGCAGTATGACCGTAGGCTGTTGCAGGTATGGAGAATGCGGTCCCACCATAGTGAAGCCCATTAACTAGCGGCTAAATCGGGATATTTATGATTTTAAAAACTCTTAAAACCAAAGCATGATAATTGCAATATTAACAAATTGTAATTTGATTATAAATTATTATTTTTATTATATTTAACTGATAGTGTTAATTAATTTTTCTTCGCTTTTACAAAATGTTTTATTATTTATTTTCCACTTCACTTTAAAAATTAATTAAAAATTCACCATCTATTAATGTAAAGTATTCAGTATCAGCACTTTGCTGCTTTATTAATCTCTCACAACTTAATATGAAAAAGCCTACGTGGCAGTTTGGATAACAATGAAATTCTGTAGAACTTGAGACAAGTAAACAAAAAGAAGCCAAGCTCACATGGCACTTCGAGAACTTAAGGCTATAAACAAATCCAAATATTGGAAATGCCCTCTTACAGACCCTTCTAATTATTAATTTAACATTATTGTTGGCCGGACAAGATGCGGCGACCGAAGATGTAGCGGAGGTCTTGGATATAAGCCACTTGTCGGCAAATCGGGCACATGCTGTACTGGCTCAGATAAGATCGAATGCACGAGTCCCCGAAGAGATGGCCACATGCCACAGAGACGACCCGATGGGCACCGCTCTCGTTCCAGACTTCCAGGCAGATGGAGCAGCTGATGCTGTCCAAGTTGTTGTTCTCCAGACTTTGTTTTAGCTTCTCTATTTCCTGCAGATGCGCCCGTTCCTGTGCATCGAGGTTGTTCAGCAATTGGCGACGCAATTCTTCCTTTTGCTGTATTTGTTGCTGCGACTCGGAAATGATGGCCTGCATAGACCCGATCTGCGCCTCCAATTTGGCAACGATGCTTTGATTCTGGGCATTCAACTCTTCCAATCGCAATATCATACCGTCTCGCTCAATGGTCAACTGCTCCTTCTGGGAAGAGGCGAACTGCAAATCGTATGTGACCTTTTCGATCGCTTTCTGGAGGTCCTGCTTGTCTTGCTGTTCATCCTGGAGCTGCTTCGATAGCTGATCCCGCTCTAGGGCGAGCCTCTCATTCTGGTTTTTGGCGGATAGCAGTTGCATTTGCAAATCCGTGAGTTCCAAGGAGTCGTCCTGGGCGCCGCAATGAAGTTTGCTCCACTGGAGCAGCCATTCGAATTGTTCTGCGTAGAACGGGTCCTCGAAATTAAAGGAATCAACCGGAATAAGGAGCTTCATTGTAAATCTTTGAACTTTGTGTGAATCCCGTAAAATTCCGCCGCAAAACTACAACAGTTTCCTCGAAAATCGTACAAAAAGAGTTGCCAACTTGCTAAAATGTCATAGTGTCATTGCTGCCAGAAAAACTGAATACGATAGAAGCACTGTGATATTTCGTTTAATCTGAAGATGATTCTCATCTAATTAAACCAGTTTTTGTTATTTTAAATTAATAATTACAAAATCAACAAATAAAGCATATACATTTTAAAATTCGATTCTGCGTGCTTTTTTGGCGCTTCGAATTTATCGAAAAAGGGCCTGTGATAACGTGGAAAACTGCAAACGGGCACACTATTTGTTAGGTGGCAGAAACGTATTTAATTTAAGGCAGATTTTTAGGACAGCAATGGATGCCAAGCTTGATGTGAGTAACATACAAAACAAAGACGTAAAGCTCTACATATTTCTCCTGCCCCCCAGATGTTCGAGGACGTGAACACGTCACCCTCGTTGGAGGGCGATATGTCCATTCCGGGCAAGAGAACCACAACAACTGCAACGTCGCCGGGCGGAGTTCCGGATTACAACACCCTGGACGAGCCCATCCGTGAGACAGTGCTGCGTGACATTCGGGCCGTCGGCATCAAGTTCTACCATGTGCTGTATCCCAAGGAAAAGTCCAGCCTGCTTCGCGATTGTACGTCATCAGCTCGGTTGCATTTTGCACATTGCTAATCTATCTTTTGCTGCCCTTCACTTGACAGGGGACTTGTGGGGTCCGCTGGTGCTGTGCACCTTCATGGCCACCATTCTGCAGGGCTCCTCCTCCGCTGACAGCATGTCCGACAACGGTCCCGAGTTTGCCCAGGTCTTCGTCATCGTCTGGATAGGAGCGGCCATCGTCACACTCAACTCCAAGCTGCTGGGCGGCAATATGTATGTAGTCTGTGGTGACGCCTTTATGTTTGTTACAAAGTTTGTCCCCGTAGCTCGTTTTTCCAGTCTGTTTGCGTGCTGGGGTATTGCCTCACGCCGGTGGCCATTTCACTGATAGTGTGCCGGGTGATCCTGCTGGCCGCCCAGACGCGTCTGCTCTTTTTCCTGCGTTTCGTCACTACCACCATGGGCTTCGCTTGGGCCACCTATGGTAATGTATAAACTCTCACATGTACTACCACAGAATGAATCACATCACAGATTCCCCTTGCAGCTTCCTTTGTATTCCTGGGACAGAGCCAGCCGCCCCACCGCAAGCCCCTGGCTGTCTACCCAATCTTCCTGTTCTTCTTTATCATCTCGTGGCTGGTCTTGTCCCACAATTAGTTCAGTTAGTGCCTAAGTCCCAAAGTAAACAGTGCACGTTCCATAGCGTAACCAAAAAGAATCGGAAATCAATTGTACATTTGTTTAAGCTACGATTTACTGTTTTCTTTATTCTTAAAAATCTTACAAGTTATCTGAGTTACGCGGCTGCGAATGCATATATAGGGGCGTGGGCTCACACCTCCAGATTGTTCGCCGAGGAGGCCACCTCCAGGGACATCTGCATCTGGACACCGTCGCCCTTGGTGGGCCTGTAGGTCAGTGAATTGGCACGCGCCTTGCGTCCCATGAAATGTCGTTCCACCCATTTTAGAAGCGTGTACACTGAGTCTGTGGACGGCAGCCGGTGATCGGCGGCGGTTTTCACAATGTCCGAGGATGTCACACGGAACGTACGCGCCATTCCTTTGAGAGCCTTTGGACAGAATCGAGCAAATGAGGGGATGAATTGCTGTCCAGTCAGAAATAGAGTTCCTGCCAGAGTTACTTACCACCATGGCGTCTTCGTCAGTTAGATCGTCGCCCACATAGATAATCTTGATGCGCTCGTTCCAGTCCACGCCAAAGGACGTGCGCAGGATGTAGATCGAGGCGCGTCCCTTGTTCCACTGCACCGGCGGACGGGCCTCCAGAGCGCAATGCGCCTCAGTAGCCCGGAAGCCGTACTTTTCGATCAGGGAGCGCGCCTTGTCCACCATCGCGCCGCGCAGGTGATTCGGCGTCTCACGGTAGTGGAATGTCAACAACGCCCCCTTGTTCTCCACCCAGGCACCGTCACGGCAAACAGAGTCCTGCAGCGCCTTGAGCAGATCGCTGACCTTCTTTTCGTACTCAATGGGCATGGGATGGACGAACTTGCTTCCGTCCGGATGGAGAATCTCCAGGCCATGGTTGCCCGCATAGGTTATGCCCTCGATGCCAACCATCTTCTTCACATTGTCCACGTTTCGGCCCGAGATGACCGCCACATATACATCCGAGTGATTGGACAGCTTGTACAGCACATTCTTGATCTCCGGCGAGAGCGTGGCCAGGTCCGGATGCGGGGCGATGGGGGCCAGGGTGCCGTCGTAGTCCAGCAGCAGAGCCAGCTTGTGGTTGTAGCCGATGTATCTGGAGGCAAGAAATCCAGAATAATTCATCGGTTTCCAGTCGCTAGAAAAGACTTACTTGAGTAAGTAGTCATCGAAATCATCCACGGACACGGGCTGCATGATGGTGGTGCCCACGTCGTCCATTTCCAAAGCGCCTACCGCCTTCAGGAAGCAACGCATCCAGTGGCTCACGTCGCACTCGGCCTCACGCCGGCGCAGACGGGCCATCCGGAGTACGCGCTCATCTTCTGGCATGGTCAGCGCCCGGTGGATCACCTCGGCAGCCTCGTTCACCTCATACGGATTGCAGAGCAGTGCCTCGTGCATCATCTCGCCGGCTCCTGCGAAGGGTGAGATGACCAGGACGCCAGGCACCTCGTTGATCTGGCAGGCCACAAACTCCTTGGCCACCAGGTTCATGCCGTCGCGAAGCGGAGTGACCAGGCACACTGCCGCATCCCGGTACAGCGCAGCCAACTCATCCTGACTGACATAGTCGTAGATATAGCGAATGGGCGCCCAGTTGGCGGTGGTAAACCGGCCGTTGATTCGACCCACCAGCTGGTCCACCTCCTCTTTCAGCTCCCGGTACTCCTTCACATCTGTTCGCGACGGCACCGAGATCTGCAAAAGGCTCACCTTCTCCTTGTGCTGCGGATACTTGAGCAGCAGCGCCTCGAAGGCCATCAGGCGATGGACAAGGCCCTTAGTGTAGTCCAGTCGGTCCACCCCCAGGATGATCTGCATCTTGGATGTCTTTAGCACCTTGGGTGCGGTCGTGGCCAGGTTCACGAAGCGCTCATATGGAATCCCGATGGGCAGCGGGCGGATGCGCACTGTGCGACCGCCGTGCTCCACGAGCAGGTTGTTCCTGTCCACGCGGCAACCGAGATTCCGCTGGCAACAATCCACGAAGTTGAGGCAGTAGTCCTGGATGTGGAAGCCCACCAGATCGCAGCCCAGCATTCCCTGAAAAAATGGGGAAGGGGGATTTATAACAAAGGGAAACAAGAAAAGCCACTAGGTCCTGCATGTCCTCGCAGATATTTACGGAAAGTTACTCTGAAAAACCAGCTCACCTGCAGGATCTCATCGGACCAAGGCAGCAGGCGAAAGATGTCCCACGGTGGGAAGGGGATGTGCAGGAAGAAAGCCAGCCGACAGGGCAGGTTCTTCTCCTCTGCGTGCTCGCGCACCCAGTTGGCGGCCAGCATGAGGTGGTAGTCGTGGATCCACACAATGGGCGGGCTCTTGTCACTGCCCTCGTTCTTGGCCAGGCACTTTTCCAGCGCCTCGATGGTGCGCACGGCAAAGTGCTTGTTGACGGTCACGTAGTCGTGCCAATGCTCGCCTCCAAAGTTAGCCCGTCCCGGCATCGAGTGGAACAGGGGCCAAAAGATCTTGTTGCAGCAGCCATTGTAGTAACTGTCGAAGATCTTGGCATTGATGTTCACGGACACCACCTGATCGGACTTGAGGCCGGCCGTGGGGGTCTGATCATTGGGATTGGACTCGGGAATGGCCTCATTGGGGTCCTCCAAATGGATACCCGACCAGCCCACCCAGAGACCGCTACCCTTGATCACCACCGGACAGACGGCAGTCACGAGGCCACCAGCGCTGAAGGATAGAAAAGAAAATTGGTCATCGTCAATCACTAACATCAAAGTAATTCCTTAAGATCCTGGCATTAATATAACAATATCGTTTCAAGTAGGAGTACGTCATAAGGTGTACTAGAAGTGCTGAGGTGGACTGCTGGACGGACTGCGAGAGTGTGTATGGGTGAGGACCCAGCCCATTTTGTGCAGAGTGCATGACACCCGGGCGCTGATAAGGAGCCTACATATATTAAATACGCGATTGTAAACAAGCCACGGACACAACTCGGGTCCGTTCCTGCCGGAGACAATCTGTCAGAGTGGAGGCCCTAAAGAAAACTCATTCCTGGCCTAGGTCGGAAAGCCGTGAGGCACAGTTCCAAGCACCGGCGATTCCACTCACGTGACTCCACCCTTTTCAGTGTCAGGTTCAGGTTTTACGGTTCCCGTCGGCGACAGTAGCCTTGGTTTAACGCCTCCAGTATTGACCCTTTTCCCCAGGCTCTCGGAAGGGTCAAAAACGCGTAATGAGCCTCGCTGATAAGACCCGCCATTATTATTGAATTTGTTTTCTAATTCCATGCCCAGACTCCGCTCTGGTTTGCCCGAGAGTTTGCCCATCTCGCCGCCCTCCCTCTCATTGTGTTTTGCGCTGATAAGGTTGACAACCTAGCGGAGATCGAGATGAACCGAGCGGCATAGGTATAGCACATACATAGTTGGCTCGGGGATAGAATAGGGTGGGTTGGGGGTTCTGTTGCTTGGGTGGCGGCGGCAACGGCCAGGCGGGGCTTATCTTCTATGCAAATTGTGGGCTCGAGGATCGAACTGGGTTACTTGGGGATTGGATTCGATTTTTGGGAGTGCGAAGAACACGAAAGTTTGTCCAGGCCGAGCCTAGGCAGCCTAATTCCCGAATATTGATAAGCAGGCCTACGTATTGTGGAATGGGAATCATGGAAAAGTTCGTATTATTTGATTTCCATCAAATTCAGAAATTTTCTTTGTTTGAAGTGATTTTATGTAACTAATTGTTTGGCCCTATTGCGGGCCTTACTTTGCTTGATAAACGAAATATGACTCTGACTTTGAATCTTGCTTTAAATCATAATTTACAAAATATATTACATTTATTTGGAATAAACCTTCCAATCAATTCCATCTAATTCTGTTTGTTTTTTTTTCTGCAAGGATCATTTACTCATCTCAAACATCTCTTAAAAATCTTGAATTCACTAATTTCCAACTTCTACATATTATTATGTAATATGTACTGAAAGCACATTAATACTTAATTTAATATATAGTACTTTTTAATTTAAAATTCACTAGTAATCATGTTACATAATCCATACACTAATTTTTAAGGCACGGCACAAGTTATATTTTTCTTAACAATTAATAGGCAATTAAAAGTGTCCTGGATTTTGGAAACTCACCTGGCCCTGCGCTCCAGCTCCTGGGTTTTTGCATTCCGGATGAGTACGAAGGGCAGTCGATTCGACACCACGATTAGGCTCGCCTTGGTGGACGGCTCACCCGCATTGGTCACAATGATCTCCGTGTCGGGCATTGCAATCTTTGGTTTATAGGATTTCTAATGAAAAGTAGCTGGTGCTGCACTGATCAAAGTCTGCTCGTGGAGGGTGCAATCAAAGTTAGCACATTATTTTTGGCCAATGCCGATGCGAATTCTCGCAGATGTGGAGGTTAGACACCTGTCTGCGTTGGACCCAGATTTATCACTGAGCCTCCTCTGCGAGCCTTTGTGTTCCAAAGAGAGAGAGCGGTGGGTTGCTGCCGAACCCAAACTCAGATTCAAATTCGGTCGAAGAATCAAGAGCAACTGCCCGAGCCAATGCCGCTGGCTGTCTTCTTATCGCTTCTGGCGCTCAGATGCAATTCGCGGACAGGTCGTATTTCTGCTGCTACAGAGGGCTTGGAAATCCGTTTTCCTGGCTGTGTTGGGTTAGGGAGTTGGTTTGTTGGTCGCGAGAGCCAGCAGCTCCGTACCCTGCCGAAAATAGACAAGCACTAAACCATTTACCCGCTCAAGTCGCACTTTTCTGCTAAAAATTAATCCGCCTCGATCGCTCATCCCATCCGTCCTCCGCCACCCCCTTGGGTCCACAGTGGCGGCGCCCTCTCTGTCTTATCAGAAAATCCAGCTTCTGTTCTCCCGCTGATTACGCTGATTTTCCTACGGTTGTGTGTGAAACGTGCCGGAGAGACTGCCCGAGTCCGAATCCGAGTCCGAGTCCACAGATATTTTGCTCCTTTCGGATTTAAGCCAGCCTTTGGGGCAACTTTATACTTTACAAAAGGGGTGTTTTCGAAAAGGCTGGAGGTCATCTTTCGGAGCCACAGTTTACACACTGAAGCTAGTTTTCTAGAATTAACTGGCCGTGCCTGGTATTATCAGCTCGAGAACATTTCACGGCAACGGCAGCAGTAGCCTCCAGCTCCAGCTCCTCCCCCGGCCCGCGTCAATGCTGTCTCTCGATGCGATAAGTCAACAAATCGATGCTGTTGTTTACGCTTTGGGCTGTCTTATAAAGAACATCCCAATTGTACACAGAAGATTTCTATTTCTATTTTCGTTTCCCTATCGAAGTTTGCAGTCTGCAGACCACGACTGCACTTCAGTAGACTTCTAACCTTGTCGTGACCGTCATTCCTGGAGTTCTTAACCAGGAAAATAGTCATATTTGGCCCACTGTTTGCCGAGAAAGATATACATGCGAACGATAGTGATAAGATGGTTGTTACATCGTTATCTAGTGCACTGTAGTTTCGGATTTAAGGCGGAGTGGTGCAAGGGATTAGGGGTCGGTGGTTAGGCTTATATATTATTTATATGGAAAAGTTATATATAGGCTGAACTTGAACGCTTGATCATGTTTGGCATTCATGCGCTTATCACGACGCTCGTCTGGTTTTTTACGTGATTGACGGTTGATAGTTGGCGTAGCTGGAATCTGCAATAACAGTTTCGCATCGGGAGCGCAAATTAGTCAGCTGAGTCGAAGCTATTAGTCGCAGCGGTGCAGCGATGCGATCTTGCCGGAGATTGGCAGATAACCCGTCCGTCCGTAGGTCGTGAAATTACGGCAAAATATTTGTTGGTGCCACTATTGGGCTATTAAGCCGTAGACGTCCATAGTTTGACGTGACCACTCTGACGCAGAGCCTCAGGCAACGGTGTCGTGATGCAAGCCAATTTGTTAGAAACAAAAATACATTTTTAACGGTCGATTGTTTCACGGTGCTGCCAGCCTGCTGGAGCTCGATAGACGATCGATAGACGGCTGCTTCCATCTCTAGTTCAATGAGTGACCGTATTGTTGCATACTTTTGTTATTGTTTACATTCGGCGTTGCGACTATGGATCCGGCAATTATTGAGTTCATTGGCGAAAAGTGCATGATCAGCATCATTCCCAACTTCTCCAACGAGCCGCTGCACCTTATCTACGGCTCTGTTGGCCCTTTCCGGGCGGGCTTCCCGGTTTTTGTGCCCCTATGGATGGCGACGCACCTGCGCAAGCAACAAAAGTGCCGGATTGTGCCGCCAGAATGGATGGATATGGATATACTGGAGGATATTAAGGAGGAGGAGAAACGATCCAAGTATATATGAAATTCCGTGCCGCTGGACAGCGTGATTTAGCATTTGGCCATTTTCAGATTCTTCACAAAAATGCCCTGCGAGCACTACATGGTGGTGGCCCAGTTGGTTATGAGCACGGCTCCTGATGATGTGCCCCGCTGCGAGGAGCTGCGCACCCTTATCAAGGACATCTTCGACATTCGTGAGTCCAAGCTTCGCACTTCGATCGACGCCTTCATCAAGGGAGAGGGCACGTACGCGAAGCTGGACAACCTAACACTATTAGAGATCCACAGCGTGCGCCCCATCTTGCCATATTCTCTGGATCACATAGCGCGCTACCAGCGCATGGCAACCGCCTCCCAGAGGGATACCTCCATGCTGAGTGCTTCAATGGCAGGCTCCAGTTCTGGTCCAAATAGCAACTCTCTATTTTCTCAGTGAATCCTGAAAAGTAATGCAAACAAATACAAATAGTTGTAAGCAAGCCCAAAAACGTATTTTGAATGTTTTCATAAATTACTCTTCCAGTTTGATCAAAAGAATAAAATTATATAAAATGACTACGCCAAACCTTTTAAATTTAGATAACAATACTTATCGATAACATACGTTTCGAAACGGTCACACTGATCCACTTGCCAAAACAGCTGAGCGCTCCTTTTATCGGTCATCAAAACTCTGGGCACACCACCTTTTCCACCAAAATAACAATTTTTATTTGTAAGTTTAAACAAAAATCAGCGATATGAGCGAAGCCGCCGTGGCTCTGGAGGCAGACGGAGCCGTCACAGAGAGAATGGTAGCGAACAACAAGATCCACTTCTCCAAGGAGGTAAAGCAGGTCATAGACAAGGTGAGTTTTGGCCCGTCTGGTTAACATATTTTTCGCCTCACTCACCTGAGATTACCCTGAAAAGGTCCTGAAAACGGATGATCCCATGGATGCACCGGATTTCAACACCGTGGACTACATCAATCAGCTCTTTCCCAACGAGCAGTCTCTGGTGGGCATCGATGAGACCATCCAGAAAATGCAGTGCGAGGTATCCCTGATTGACGACAACATCCGATCCGTGGTGCGTGGCCAGACAAACACTGGCCAGGACGGGCAGGTGGCGCTGTGCGAGGCCCAGAAAGTGATCAGTTCGCTGTTCAGCCACATCATCGACGTAAAGTCGCGGGCGGAGCGCACGGAGGAGATGGTCAAGGAGATCACCCGGGACATCAAGCAGCTGGACTGCGCCAAGCGCAATCTCACCGCTGCGATTACGACGCTGAACCACCTGCACATGCTGGTGGGTGGGATCGACAGCCTCAACAAGCTCATCGAGCGGCGTTCCTATGGCGAAATCCTGAATCCTCTGCAGGCCATAACCGAGGTGAACCAGCACTTCCAGCAGTTCTCCGACATCGAGGAGATCAAGGCAAGTTGGGTATGCAATTGAAATAGGCTACCGGCACTACTAACCACCATTCTCGTGCAGAATCTCTCCCAGAGCGTGGACAAAATCCAGGTTACTCTGGCCCAACAAATCACCGAAGATTTCAAAGATGCGTTTTCCGCAAAGCCTGCGGGTCAAAACCAGCATCGCTTGGGCCTGAACCAGCTGGCTGATGCCTGCAAAGTGATGTCGGTGCTCGATCCGAAGGTAAAGAAGGAGCTGCTCAAGTGGTTCATTGCCCAGCAGCTGGAAGAGTACATGCACCTGTTCCATGAGAACCAGGATATAGCCTGGCTGGACAAGATAGACAAGCGATACGCCTGGCTCAAGCGCCATCTCCTTGAATTCGAGGACAAGTACGGCCCGGTCTTTCCGTTGGACTGGGAGGTCTCCGAGCGGATAACCGTAGAGTTTTGTCGGCAGACGCGGGAACAGCTCTCTCAGGTCATGGCCAAGCGCAACAACGAGATCGACGTGCGGCTGCTGTTGTTTGCCATCAATAAGACACAGGCCTTTGAGCAGCTGCTGTCCAAGCGCTTCACGGGAGTCACGCTGGGAGCCACGGCGGCGGATCAGGCTCGGGCGCTGGCTGAGCCATCTGTAACGGATGCCCCCGCGGGCGTCACCATCTTCCACGACCAAATCGGGCAGTGCTTCAAGCCGCACCTGGATATATATATACGCAGCATTGACCGCAACCTCGCCGAACTTATGGATAAATTTGTGGAAATGTCCCGCGAGCCGTTCAAGTTTGCCGAGGCCAAGACAACCGTGTACCCCAGCTCCGGGGACTTATTTGTCTTCTACAAGAAGTGCATGGTGCAATGCAATCAGCTGAGCAATGAGCAGCCGATGTACGACCTCGCCCTGGTGTTTAAGAAATATCTGCGGGAGTACGCCGCCAAGGTACTCGAGGGCAGCACCCCCAAGCTGGTGCCGGCCACCACAGGCAGTTCCATTGGCAAGAGCGTATCACTGCTCACCCGCGACATGCAGAACTTGTCGACGGCCGCTGGGCAAGTGTTTCACAATTTCTTGAAGGAGGGCGATACGCAGCGCTTCTCTCGCGACGACTTGATGCGCATCTGCTACGTCCTGACCACCGGCGAGTACTGCCTAGAGACTGTCCAGCAATTGGAGGACAAGCTGAAGGAGAAGGTGACCTCCGCCTATGTGAGCAAGATTGACATGAGCGAGGAGAAGGATGTGTTTCATCGGTAAGTCGATTATTCCAAACCAATTTCTTAATATCCGAATCATTAATTTTTCTGCCCTGACAGCATCATCTCCAACTGCATCCAGCTGTTGGTTCAGGATCTGGAGGCCGGCTGCGAGACTTCCCTGCAGACGATGTCCAAGGTACAGTGGCAGCACATCAACAACGTGGGCGACCAGAGCGCCTTCATCAGCAGCATCTGCGCCAACTTTAAGCAAACAGTGCCCACCATCCGGGACACGTTGGCCAGCTCGCGCAAGTACTTTACGCAGTTTTGTCATCGCTTTGTGGCCGCCTTCATACCGAAGTTCATCAACGTGCTGTATCGCTGCAAGCTAACGCTCTCGGACGGCTCCAACAATGTTTTGGGCTGCGAGCAATTGCTCTTAGACACCCACTCGCTGAAGACTGCACTCCTGGAGCTGCCATCGGTGGGGTCCAGTGTTAACCGCAAGGCGCCCACCAGCTACACGAAGGTGGTTGTCAAGGACATGACGCGTGCTGAAATGATCATTAAGGTGGTGATGACGCCGGTCCAGCCGCCGGCACACTTCACCCAGCAGGTTTTGAAGCTGCTCCCGGACATCACCATTGCGGAATATCAAAAGATTTTGGACATGAAGGCGGTCAAGCGGGTAGATCAGCTGCAGCTTATCGATCTTTTCAAACACACGGCTTCGGCAGCCGCGGTTAGTGGCCTAATAGAGTCGACGGCTGCGGATGAGGAGGCCCAGGGCACTGAGGCCCCGGCAGCGGGAGCTTTGGCAGCCATCGAAGAACCTGAACAATCGTTGGCAACAGCCGAATCCAGCACAATCACCTCGACTACGACAACGGCATCATCATCCACACCCAAGCGAGCGTTCATCTTCAGCGTCGGCAGCTTTACGGGCAGTGCGGACAAAAATGCCGATGGCAGCTCCCAGACGGGAATCCGGAAGCTGGAGAGTCTGCTAAAGAAGCGGTTTCCTTAGTCCACCTACCTACTAGATATCACTCTTCTGACATCATTCCGTTGCGTTTGACAATATTCTTAAAACATTTGCTTAACTTATTGTATATTTCTGGGGTTAATTCTATAATAGTTCTGTAGTTTACTTTTGTATTGTTTGCAGTCCATCCAAGTCCTTACCAAATGTTGAATAAACATTCGCCTTTTGTGTATTAACAAGCAAAATATATGGTTTTCAAAGCTGATATTTCGTGTAGGCAACTGGAATTGTTCAAGTTTTTTATTACAATTTTTAAATAACTTGATTTACTTGAAAAAGCTGACCAATATCATACTACCGGCGTCCGTTTGCGAAATGCTTTTATGACCACCTCCGATCTTAAGCAGCACAACCGGACCCTTTCTACAGATCGTCCCTGCAAGTGTTTCAACTGCCCGAAGACTTTTCAGTCTGAAACAGATTCTAAGCGACACTCCTGGTCTCACATGGGTGAGTTGCCGTACAGCTGTCCGAAGACCTATTTGCACTTTACTAGTTAATAATGCATATGGATGTGCACAAGGAAAAGCCCCTATTGCAAGATGTCCTTTTTGACTGAAAAATTTCTTAATAACTAGATGGACTCCAGTGCTGGGCTCTTGTTAGTTTTTTTTTTATAATGTCTATCATTTAAGATTTAAATATACTCATATAGAGTATTAATAAATATTTGTATTAACACACAAACTAACAAAAAACAAGAAAGAAAGCTAACTTTGGCCAGCCAAAGTTTTGTATACACTTGCAGATTGGTTTCGATGTTTATATTATAGATTTACAAACACTCACAAAACAGAGTTCCATTAAATTTTACCTATACTTATTATGTTTACAGTTTGACAGTTTCAGTTTTACATTCCCAGCTTTGCATATTTTATACATTTACCGATCGCTTCTATGGCAGCTATATGATATAGTTGTCAGATTTTTATGAAATTTATACCAAAATTCTAGTATAATAAAAAAAGCTTATATCTTAGAGTTGATAAAAATACGTTGAAAAACAACCAAACTATAATTTTTATACCCTTGCAGGGTATTTTATTTCCAGTCCGAAGCTCATTACGCATTGAAGGAGTCATTTCCGACCCCATAAACCATATATATTCTTGATCAGCATTAACAGGCGCATCTTTCTGGCTAAGTCCGGAAGAAAAAAATTTTTAATCAATTTTTTCAAATTTTATAAGGGGTTACATCATTAAAATTCTCAAAATTTGATAAAATTTTCAATTTCTAACTAAGTATGCAGATTTGTTAACCTTTCCGAATGCAAATTACGGCATTTTTGACAGAGTTATGCCTTTTTTAGTTTTTAATTTTCTGTTTTTCTCATTTCTAATGTAATTTTAACATCATTTTCTGAATTTTTAAATTTTTTTCTAAATTTTTAAAAATTTTCCTGAATTTTTAAAATTTTTTCTAATATTTTAACTTTTTTTTTAGATTTTTAAAATTTTTTTAGAATTAAAAAATTTTTTTTTAATATTTTAACTGCCAAATTTGAATTTGAATTAAACTGCCAAATTTGAATTTGAATTTAATGACGATCAGTTTCAGTGTGCCCAGGTGCAGTTGTAAAATAACACCTAAATTTGGATTCAAAAGGTTTGAGTCTCCGCTTACTTGCGCCGACTGTTAAATGGTTCGAAACTTGGACTTTTTATAACAGTTTATACCAGTTTTCAGTTGCTTGCTGCTGATTTCTGTTCGCCTGTTACCCCAATTTGGGAAACGGGCAATTTGCATGGAAATGTTCGTAAATTTGGATGGGCTGCTGTAGGGATGTTGTTGTAAAAAGGTTGTTGTTGCCATCAAGCTGTTGTTGTCGGCAACAAATAGGCATAAATGCATGAAATGAAATATAACAGTTTATACCAATTATTATTTTAGCCCAAAAGTTTTTATAACAGTTTATACCAGTTTTCAGTTGCTTGCTGCTGGTTTCTGTTCGCCTGCTACCCCAGTTTGGAAAGCGGCCAATTTGAATGAAAAGTTTTGCTACTTGCATCAGTGATGCTCACTTCCATCAGTGATGCTCACGTCCATCAGTGATGCTCACTTCCATCAGTGATGCTCACTTCCATCAGTGATGCTCACTTCCATCAGTGATGCTCACTTCCATCAGTGATGCTCACTTCCATCAGTGATGCTCACTTCCATCAGTGATGCTCACTTCCATCAGTGATGCTCACTTCCATCAGTGATGCTCACTTTCATCAGTGATGCTCACTTCCATCAGTGATGCTCACTTTCATCAGTGATGCTCACTTCCATCAGTGATGCTCACTTCCATCAGTGATGCTCACTTCCATCAGTGATGCTCACTTCCATCAGTGATGCTCACTTCCATCAGTGATGCTCACTTCCATCAGTGATGCTCACTTCCATCAGTGATTGCTCACTTCCATCATTGATGGTCACTTCCATCAGTGATGCTCACTTCCATCAGTGATGCTCATCACTGGCAGCTAGTGAGATGCAATTTTCTACCAATAATGCAAAAAAATAGCTAGATGAGCATCACTGATGCACATTCGCATCACTGCCATTAAGCCCGATTTTATTGCCCTCCAATATTGAAATATAGCCAGATGAGCATCACTGATGCAGATGAGCATCACTCATGCAAGTGAGCAAAAATTTCCATCCAATTTGGCCGTTGCCCAAATTGGGGTAACAGGCGAACAGAAATCAGCAGCAAGCAACTGAAAACTGGTATAAACTGTTATAAAAAGTCCAAGTTTCGAACCATTTAACAGTCGGCGCAAGTAAGCGGAGACTCAAACCTTTTGAATCCAAAATTAGGTGTTATTTTACAACTGCACCTGGGCACACTGAAACTGATTGTCATTAAATTCAAATTCAAATTTGGCAGTTTAATTCAAATTCAAATTTGGCAGTTAAAATATTAAAAAAAAATTTTTAATTCTAAAAAAATTTTAAAAATCTAAAAAAAAAGTTAAAATATTAGAAAAAATTTTAAAAATTCAGGAAAATTTTTAAAAATTTAGAAAAAAATTTAAAAATTCAGAAAATGATGTTAAAATTACATTAGAAATGAGAAAAACAGAAAATTAAAAACTAAAAAAGGCATAACTCTGTCAAAAATGCCGTAATTTGCATTCGGAAAGCGGTGTTATGTTAGTTTTTATAAGGTTAACAAATCTGCATACTTAGTTAGAAATTGAAAATTTTATCAAATTTTGAGAATTTTAATGATGTAACCCCTTATAAAATTTGAAAAAATTGATTAAAAATTTTTTTCTTCCGGACTTAGCCAGAAAGATGCGCCTGTTAATGCTGATCAAGAATATATATGGTTTATGGGGTCGGAAATGACTCCTTCAATGCGTAATGAGCTTCGGACTGGAAATAAAATACCCTGCAAGGGTATAAAAATTATAGTTTGGTTGTTTTTCAACGTATTTTTATCAACTCTAAGATATAAGCTTTTTTTATTATACTAGAATTTTGGTATAAATTTCATAAAAATCTGACAACTATATCATATAGCTGCCATAGAAGCGATCGGTAAATGTATAAAATATGCAAAGCTGGGAATGTAAAACTGAAACTGTAAACAAACAGAAAAGTTATAATTTTTTTTCTAAAAATATATCGAACATTTGTATGGCAGCTATATGATATAGTCGTCTGATCCGGCCCTTTCCGACATATATAGCAGTGAGAGTATATAGAAGACTATATGCAAAGTTTCATTCAAATAGCTTTAAAACTGAGGGACTAGTTTGCGTAGAAACAGACAGACAGACAGACAGACAGACGGACAGACGGACAGACGGACAGACAGACAGACGGACAGACGGACAGACGGACAGACGGACATGGCTAGATCGACTCGGCTGTTGATGCTGATCAAGAATATATATACTTTATAGGGTCGGAAACGTCTCCTTCACTGCATTGCAAACTTCTGACTGAAATTATAATACCCTGCAAGGGTATAACAAGCCACAAAAATACATTTTAATATTTTAAATGAGGTTTTTGCTGGTTCGAGGTCTTAGGTGGGAAAGCTGGATTTTTTTTTTATTTCACACAAACAAGCATTAATTAATTTATTATCTGTCTTACCTTTTTTTTTGTTTCTTACTTACCTTTTTTTAAACAAAAAAATTAAACAATCAATATATGTATTATATTTTTAAGTATTTTATTTATTGTAGGCTTGACTCATCTCCTTTAAACATAAACTTATTTGACTATGCTGAAAGTTGGATTCTCGCGTTTATGTTCTTTCTCAGGGTACTAATGACTAATGCGTTGGCTTATGCGACTATCTAACCATGTAGGTGCTACGACTATAACTAGGTCTGTGGCTGCTGCTGCTGCTTATGCTGCAGTTGCGGTCGCTGCGGCTGCTGCTGCTCCGATTTTTAGGCTATGTACATGCAACTTATGGTCTAACTGATTTTGAGCGTACGGTCTAGTTTGAAGATCTTTTGAAAGTGATCGCATTGCGCGCAATAATACACATCTCTAAACAAAAGACTTAAGACACGAACTTAGGCGTACATTAACGGATGTATTGGATGCGTTACAAATGATCATTACGTGTAATTATGCTTTGGTTCAATTCCAGCACTGCAAAAACCTTAACGATACGAATATGACTATGACGCAGTGGTCCAGCGACCGGCATTCCAAGGCCAGTTAGCATTTGTTGGCCAACATCGCCCGAAGCTGCCGCTGGGACTGTACAGGCTAGACTACGCTAGGCTACCAATTTACTCATAAATTTAAATACACAGTATTTACACAAGTCGAGTAAATGTCTAAGCTAGTAGCTGCTCACTAGACGGCCACAATCTTGCTGGGGTCCACCTTGACGCGCAGGAACACGGTGTCGCCCTTGATGAAGGGTCGGCTGTGCAGCAGCTCGTGGGAGATGAAGCGCGGGAAGCCGAATCCAAGCTGGTCAGGCTCGTTCGAGGGTCGCTGGAAGTTCTCCCAGGTGGGATCGGGCACGAACGACTCCGCCACGCCACCCTGGCCGCTCTGGGCGCCCTGCTCGAACAGCGTGAAGGTGATCGAGTGCGAGAAGGGCCACTTGAGCAGAGCGTCGTATTCTCCGGGCAGGACCTTGATATACACGGATACGTGCGTGTTCTCGCCGGGTCCGTTGCCGTTGAGGAACATCGAGGCCTGCAGCTTGTAGCCG